AGCACAGCACCCTCCAATTCCCGCCAAGTTCCATTTTTTTTAATTCACTGCTGCATAGTATTCCACTGCATCTAGAGACAACTCCTTTATCCATTCATCTATTGTTGGATGTTCGGGTTGATCCTATCTCACACATCAGAATCTTAGAAGTATCTATGGAGGCCTTCAACATGTGAAAACTGGGCTTTTCACATTTAAAAAAAAAACTGATAAAATCAAAAACAATTTTTTTTTTTTTATTGACGGAGCAGAAGGTGAGGAAGTTGGCAGGGAGTGAGAAGATGCAGCAGTGCTCAGGGCTGACTCCTGGCTCTGTGCTCAGGTGCTCGGGGATCATGCCTGGTGGGACACAGAGAATGCAGTGCTGGGCTCAACCCTGGGTGAGCTGCATGGAAGGCAAGCACCAAACTTGCTGGGTTGTCTGTTTGTTTTGTGGCCACACCTGGCAATGCTCAGGAGGCTCCTGGTTCTGTACTCCGGTGGGGCTTAGGGAACCATCTGGGGTGCCAGGGATAAAACCTGAGCTGACCACACACAAAACAAGCACCCTGCCTGATGTACTATCTCTTCAGCCCCCTCAAACAATCCTTTTAATCAGAGGACCAGCAGTGGCCGCTGGGCGAGAGGAGCAAGGAAGCACTGGTAGTAGTCCAGCAGTGGACTCATAAAGATCAAGAAAGAGTTGCTCATGGGAACTCAGTCAGTCAAGGGGCCAGGCGTGGACATCCCCCGGGGCAGACAAGAAAAAGCCTTTGTGTTGGTTGAGGACTTCTCTTAGGACTTTGCTGCTGGTACTTATGGAAGACAGACTGCCGAGTGTCAGAAGGAGAGTGGGTGTGATGAAGCTTAGCACGGGACTAAGCATCCCGAAATGAGGCCTCCCGGTCACCGACTAGGAGAGTAGTGGTATGGGTTCGTGCTGCTCATGTTTGACGGGTCGTGCGTGGCACCAGCTAGAGTTGCTCTGGCAAAGAGGAGAATGGGATGGTCTCAGGGTCCGGTAAGGGGAGTCTGGGCACCAGCATCAGAGAAGAAGGCAGAAGGTGGGAGCTGAAAGTTGTGAGGAGGATGGTCACGGGTATGGGGGTCAGCTGTGACACCTGGGGAACGAGCTTGTCCCCTCTCTGGGGAACTTGCTCTCAGGAGAAGCCACATCTGGGTGCTTCCAAAGGACCCAGAGCACTCCTAAAAAGACTTGTTTGTCAAAAAAGCAAAATAGTTGAGAACTTAAATTGAATGAGTGAGGAGCCCTGACCAGGTCAGTGCATACTTCTGTGACACATCTGTAAAAATATGGCAGGAGCCTTTTTCCAGGAATCTGCACACAAAGCCAAACTTGTACATCTCCAAGTCTGCTCAAGTTTAAAGAGCTCTGGGTCAATAATAAAATCGTACGTTGCAAGTTCGTAAATTTAGGTACAATTGTCATTAAAGACTGCACGCGTGTTAAGAAGAGTCCAAAGAAAGTCAAACAACTATAAATGAATCACGTAGGGAATGTTTAACTACAAAAGGAGGACAAAAGATGTTCAACATTTTTATTTATTAAAACAAAACTACATCTCTGTGCTTCTTACAATACATCCACAGGCATAAAAATCAATCAACATTTTCAAATAAGTCTCTCTCACAAAGTCACGTGTGTTATTTTACAGTACTTCATAGCAATTCTTTTTACAAGAGTCTAACATTTCTTTGTACAACAGGCAAACAGTTTAACACCTTCCATCAAGGCATTTCAGAGCTTTAGATCTTTAGAAATAAAGTCAAAGTCTCTTTCAAATGCAATCATTAGTTTGTATTAAACTAAAATGCCGAGTCTCAATTTCCTAAGAGTGTTTAGGAAAAAAACAGATTTACATCCAAATTAAATCTTATAAACCTTGATGATAGATTCTATCACGTTTAAACACTAGAACTATCTATGGATAAAAATCTGCATTCAAATATGCAGTGTTTCCTCCTAGATCTGTATTATCCATTCCATTTAATTTTTGTGTTAAATCTGCTTTTAGTGGAAAAAAGAAATCAATGTCAGTTGATCTTTCCATCAAAGGAAAGAGCATTCATATTACAGTTTTCTGTGCTTTTGTCTCAAGGGGAAGAAACAGATATCCATTGAATGATAGTACAATTCTACCAATTGTACAAAATGCATACAAATTCTGCCCAAGTGCCATCGGTTGATTATTCTTATATCCCCCGAAGGAACGACCTAATATGGTACTTCCATGGGGTAGTAGAGAGAGGTTCGAGCCCCGATGGGGGAAGAGGTCCTAGGCTACAGTAATTTGGGACATGCTGGGTCAGACAGCCATGCTTGGCCAGACCCGGAGCCCTTATTGCGAGAAGTGCACTGTGAGACTGTGAGTTTCTAGGACTAAGAGAATCCGTGAGCAAACTCATTTACCAGCGAAACACCTGTAAAACACCTACATAGACACAAAGAACTATGGGAAAGGCTTTCCCCTTCAGGGAACAGGAAATTCCACCATCTGAGGTTACAGTCCTGATAACGTCACCGCGTAGGGAGTCTCTCTTCTCCTGAGATTCAACGGACCTCGGAAGGACCGAGAGATCGTGCTTTCTCTTACGACTTCTACACGCTTCGCGCTCATTATTTCCCTCTGTTTTTCTTAAAAATTTAAGAGAACAAGATTTCCTTCCCCTGTTCTGAATGACTTAGGACATTCTCATTTTGAAAGAATGCGGCTGCATATTGCTTATTATGAGGTTTGTTTTTTCTTTCTTTTATTTTTTTTTCCTGGCTGTTGTCAGGTTGTGTTTTAGCTTGACTCACAGTCTTCCCCTGGAGAGCATGCATTTCAGTTTCAGAGAAATGCAAAAGAGTAAACTGTAATAAATTATTTACAAGCACCTAGTTTGTTTAATCTTACATGGAAGCCATTCGCTCTTGGAAAACAATACGAATTAATCTCCTAGCAAGAGAGTGCTTCTGGAAGCCTAATTGTGATGACATATGTGTTTCAGTAATCAGGCACTGAAGAATGAGTTGTGCGAAAAATTAACTCAAGGGTCAGCGTGTCTGGATGAGCATAACTTTGGTTGAGATTTTTCTTCCTTAAGAAAAGGTTTCAAAGCACCAGTTAATTAGGAAAAGCATGCGCATTTATTCTCACAGTGAGCTAAGTGGCGAGAGAGTACTAGCAAATCAGAAGCGGCAGGCATTCCCGGAAGCGGTTAAGGTTTCCAGAAAACAAACCAACTGAAAGGAAAAAGAGAGCCCAAGAAGCCAGGGGGCTCTGCCCAGGATGGCCAGGTGAGGCTCTCAGCAGAGGCCACGGTGCTCCTCGAAGGGCAGCCTCCACCAAACTCATCATCAGCTAACTGCGCCTTTGGGTCGCCCTGGCTCTGTCCTTTACAGGGTGAATGAAAGAGACCGGCAAAATGTTCGCTTGCCCTGTGAGAAACTCCCACGGGAGAGATAAAGACCCCCGGGGGGGATTCTCCCCAAGGCAGCACTTTGTAAGTCAAGTGCTGGGCCACCAGAAGTCCCTTCCATCCAGCTACTGTCACACTCATGATGGCTGGGGGTGGGGGGAACAGGGTGGGCGGGGGAGAGGGATTAGGGCAGCACAGACCGACTCCTCCAGTGGGGCAGCGGCACTACCAGCATTACTGCTCTGAGCATCACGGGAGCACTGACCTGCGGGCCTGGGCCCGGCGCTCTCCTTCCCCAAACCCTGCGGGACCTTCACAAACCACTAGCAGTGCTCAAAATCCAAACTTCTCCAAGCACAAACCGATGTCTCGGGCCTCTTAGGGTCAACTCAAAAGATGAGGCAATGCTCATCCGGTAAAGATGTCCGGGTAGGTAATACCGAGGGAGAGAAGGAAGCTGTCAGAAAAATGGCTGGGCATCACCCGATTACGGAGAATCCATCACAATTCCTACCACAAACTAACAAATATGGCCCCTGCTCACAGAAAGAAAGGCACCTGCCCATCAGGATCAGATGATTTTTTATAATTGTTTGCTACATAATTGTCAAGTCACTTGCCGCTGTTTGGCCTTGGGGTTTAGGAAGAAGCCCATTAAAAACTTGTAAAAACCATGATTTCATTTTATTTTTTTTTTCTTGATGCTAAAAATCAATAAATGCTTCCATCCACTGACCAGCCAGCTGGCCTGTCAGTACTCTGGACAGGCTGCTCACCGTCAAGGGAGTTGGGGGCCCCGCCGGCACCCACATACCATCCTCGGGGCCAACACAGACCACCCCAAGCAATCAAGCAAGTCAGCACAGCTGCTGTCCCTGCAAGAGGCTGACAACAGCGGGGCCAGGGAGGGGCAGGCCAGGGGCCGGGAAGCAGAACGGAGGGGACACGGGAGTCAGTCCCAAATACTTGCTGGTCATTTAATACAATGGCACTTTTTTTGATATGGGTGGGAGTGTTTGAATTCAGCTTTCTGGCCAGGTTTCCCCTGAATGTGGCCAGCCAAGCTGACTTCCTCCTGTAGCCCGGAACCTTAACTCGTCACAGGGTCACTTTCCCTGAACGGGGGTCCAGACACTTCCTGAGCCTGCCAGCAGGGGGCAGCACAGTGATCCCTGGCTGTGACGCACATCAGCTCAATCATTTTTGTAAAGCACTTGGGGGGGGAGGGTAGGATCGGGGTTCCCATTTAAAACCGATCGACAAAGGTAAAACTGCAAAGAAACAGTGAAGGGACGATTCAGTTATTTCCAGAGGAAGCACAGACCATCAGAAAATAAACCAACAAATCGCCTGACGGCACAAGTCTCCATAAGATTCGGTTCTAGGACACAACTACATTTGAAAAAAAAAAAAAAAAAAGAAAAGAAAATCCATCACAGTAATTAGTCCTTAACAGTTAAGTCGTACTTAAAACATAAATTTTTAATAAGCTCCAAAATAACTGTTTTCAGATTTCATTTTTGTACTCTACTGATTCTGATCGAGTTTGGAGGCTGCGCCCCCCCCACCCCCTCTCGACACCCCTCCCCCCAACGCCGCCTGCGGGATCCTTTGTCACCTCAGCGTGGGGGTGTGCACAGATGCACGGACGAGGGCTGGGCGAAGGCACTTGTCTCCCAGGAGGTCCCCCCAGAGCGGGGCAGGCCGGACCACACGCCACACCTTCCACTCTCCGGCTTGAGGCCAGCCAGAGCCCACAAGGGGCGGGTCCCGTCCCGGCCGGGAACGTGCCAGGCGCGGGGGGGTGGGGGCCAGCGTGGCCTACAGCACCACGAAGCTGAGGATGTACTCCAGGAGTTTCTGCCGGTTGCACTGAGGTAGGAAAGTGCTGCTGAGTTCTAGAACAGACACTCGCTTCTGTTTGGTCTCTTTGAAAACCTAGGGAGGGAAGGAAAAGACAAAATTCAGGACCTGAAGATTCAGAGAACATGCTCGTCACTCCACCCTGCTGCCTGCCACCCAGAAAGGCCTCGAAGACCCGGGACTGGCAGGATCCTGGACATGGGTCCCCGGGGGATGGAGCTCAACCAGGGAGTCTGACTGTACACTCCATGGTGGAAGAAGGTCATGATAAGGCTCTTGGGGGGGGGGGGAAGCAATTGGGGTCTCCGGGCAGCTCAGCTCGAACGGTACAAAAGGCGCGGGCTATCTGCAGGTAGCCTGGCAGTGCCCACAAGGATGGGAGACAACCATGACGCTGGGACAGGAGGAATGTCCCCGCGGAAGTCCTGGCACCACCCAAGACACACTGGTTCATGCTACAATGCAGGAACGGTTCAACAAGGAAGAGGGAACCCAGGACAAGGCCAGCGCACATAGGTCTATACCGACAGGCCTGGCGCAGCGGGGCCCGCACCGGTGAACCTGGCAGACGGTGTGTCTCGGGGGCCACACACCAGACCTACACCGGGGGCAAAGACAAGCCCCCACGGAAGTCCTTCCACCGAAATCAAAGGCCACTCACCCCGATGTCCTTGAACATTTTCACGGCATTCTTCACGAGGCAATAGGTGGCACTCTCAGCTGGAAAGGAAAGGCAAGACCCCGTCAGCCGTGCAGGCCCCCAGAGCAGGAAAAGCCAATGCAGTGAGGACGGGGGAGGGGCCCCCACACAAGCCTACCCCACGTGGCCTGTGAGCTGAAGCTTCGACAGTTTAGGTTTCTTGAAAGCATCATCTTCCCAGGGAAGAAAGAGGAAGAGAGACAGGCGGAGGGGGCACGTGCGGAGCTGGACCCTTTCCACGGCCCCTCTGTTTCTAAAAGTTCAGGTTTATTTCAGCTCCTGTATAAAGTGCCATTCACGACCCTCGCATGACAGGCTGTATCGAATTCCAGCCAGAGCAGGGAATGACCGAGACACCTCTACCGGAGCATCCTGTGTGAATGGGGGGGTGCGTGCCCCCCAAAGGCGGGGTGGGTCGGGCACGGCCCAGCAGAAGTGCTCACAGCAGTGAGAAATAGAGTCTGAACCTAAAGCCACCCAAATGCCCATCAACCAAAGCTATCGCTCTAAGGCGGAAAACAGGCCCGTGACGGATGACGAAGCAAGACTGGCCGCCAGGACAAAGAACCAGGTACTCAGGGCTTCACTTATCCCCGTGCTCTGGGTGAGGGCTGGAGTCACACAGCCAAACACAGACTCAACACAGAAAACGGAGATCTAAGCGGTCACCAAACAAACACACACTATCCTCCCGTTGTTCGTCGATTTGCTCGAGCGGGCCCCGTAACGTCTCCATTCTGAAACTTGTTGTTACTGTGTTTGGCATAGCGAATATGTCACGGGGAGCTTGCCAGGCTTTGCCATGTGAGCGAGATACGCTCGGTAGCTTGCCAGGCTCTCTGAGAGGGACGGAGGAATCAAACCCAGCTCAGCCGAGCAGACTGCATGCAAGGCAAACGCCCTACCGCTGTGCTATCGTTCCAGCCCAAGCGGTAACCACTAGAACTTTGTAACATGCCTGCCCAGGTGACAGCTGGGAAGGTGGGGGAGGGGGGCATGGGGGGTTGGGGTGGGAAGAAACCTGGGAACAATGCTGGAGGGAAGCTGGCACTGGTGGTGGGATTGGTGCGGAAATATTCTATGTCTAAAACTCAACTATGAATAACACTGTACGTCACTGTCACTATCACTGTCACTGTCCTCCCGCTGTTCATCGATTTGCTCGAGCGGGCCCAGTAACGTCTCCATTTTGAGACTTGTTGTTACTGTGTTTGGCATATCGAATACGTCACGAGGAGCTTGCCAGGCTCTGCTGTGCTGTGGTAGCTTGCCAGGCTCTCCGAGAGGTGTGCATCACAGTTCTTTAATTAAAAAAAAAGAACAAAAATATAACTAAGGGCAACAATGTGGGGGCTCTTAGTAACAATGCTAGGAGGGAGAGGGGGAGAGGGGAAGAGAGGGAGAGGAGAGAGAGAGAGAGGGAGGGAGGAAGAGAGAGGGAGGGAGGAAGAGAGAGAGAGGGAGGGAGGAAGAGAGGGAGGGAGGAAGAGAGAGAGGGAGGAAGAGAGAGAGGGAGAGAGGAAGTGGGAGGAAGAGAGAAAAGGAGGGAGGAAGAGAGAGAGGGAGGGAGGAAGAGAGAGAGGGAGGGAGAGAGGGAGGGAGGGACGTACCATACACAGCAATGCTCCTCTCCGTCCTGGTGATGAGGTACCGGTGGAGCTTCTGCAGGTACTCGGGCTCGGCCACGGGGCCGCTGAAGTTGTGGATGAAGATGGCCGCGGAGCTGTAGGCCTCCAGCAGCGGGCCCAGGAGCCTCTGCAGGAAGCCGATGAACTGCTGGTGCTCCTTGGACTGGCTCACCTAAGGGTGCGAGAGCGGGCGGTGAGGGGACCACAGGGGACGAGGGCCGGAGGCGGGAGACTCCCACGCGTGTCGCGGCAGCGCACCTTCAGGTAGCAGTCCCGCTGCTCCTCGCCGAAGTCGCTGTCCTCGTCCTCCTCGTCGCTCCGCCAAGACGGAGGCGCAGGGAGCTTCTTCCCCCAGTGCTGCTCGGCGAGGCCGGGGCTCATGTCCTCCTGGTCATCTTGCTGCGTCCAGGAGAGGACACGAGTGAGCAGGACGCGAGGCCACCTTCCCACCCGCTCTCTTCCGCCTCCCCTCCCAAGCTCAAGGTCGCTGGGGACACAAAAGGAGTGAAGGAAGGACCAAACAAAGGCCATGTGAAAGTCCCCTCGCCTCTCCTACACTGAGATCTACTTTCCCAGGCCACCTCCTCTAAAACAATCACACCAGAATTAAAACGGAACCTCCAGCGGGAAACGTGCCCGCACGCATGCAAGCTAATGAATGAGCCCGCTTGGGAGGTCACACCTGGCACTTCAGAACACAAGCCGCCCGCGGGGGGGAGGGACAGGCATGCGTTAGACAACACAGCCATGCAAATAGAAATCAAAACGCTCAACAGTCCCCCCAGACCTTCCCTCTCAGACCACCTCCCAGACCTTCCCTCTCCTCCTCATCTGGATTTGAGGATGCGTCTAGCGCAATCTACCCGTTACAGTGACTGGCCATCATGTTAGTTAATATTACTGATAGAAAAGATGAGAAAATGAAGAGCCAGAAACGGAAGAATAGAACGGTCAGCTTGTCCTCTTACCTCTGCCACCGTGAGAATGCCATACTGGATAAACCTTCCGACTGTTTCATGGCAAACCTGGTAAAACGTCTGGCAGGGCTGCAAGAAAAGGCACAGGAATGTGAATGTCGCTGCTGCATCCTGCCTGCTTTAAAGGCTGAGAGCACAGAGCCGGGGTGCTTACATCCCTCCCACAGACCCCCCAATCTGCCCAACTAAGCCTGCTCTAAGATTTCTCTTGCCCACCCTCTTAATGAGGACAGCAAAGTCTGGGGGAGCTCTCACTCAGCTGGCTGGCACAGCACCCAATACCACCCGCCCGCTAAGGGTGCTTCTAAGCTATCTTCCTGCGCTCCCCTCCCTGCCCCCAGCCCCCCAAGCAGAGCAAGCCCTAGGAAGGGTTGCCTGTCAGGACACTGCTAGTCATTTTTTTGGGGGGGGGGCTTCTGGGGTCACACCCAGCGATGCTCAGGGGTTTACTCCTGGCTCTGCACTCAGGAATTACTCTTGCTCAAGGGATCATATGGGATGCTGAGGATTGAATCAGGGTCAGCTGCATGCAAGACAAATGCCCTCCCCACTGTACTATTGCTCCAGCTCCAGGATTTTATCCTAAGACGATCTTTCCATGATAATTTCCCTTGTAACAAATATTGGACACAATCATGGTACATGAGAGAACGCAATAGGCAAATGCCCCAAAAGGGACAAGGTTGATCCTTGGGATGCTTATTCGCCCCGCCCCTCTCGAGCTCCCTGCTCCCATCCTGCCACCCATGGGTTCTGTCAGACTTAACCCAGGATCCCCACCCTGCCACATACAAGAATGCCAAATTTGTATTTCTCCAAATACGTGTCCTCAAAAATGCTCCAAGGCACCCACGTAAGTGAGGAGGACAAGATTAGACTCTGTGGACTGAGTGATTGCAAAGGCAGTGAATGAACACAGGTCCTCAAGTGCAAGGCTGTGCCTGCCACTGAGTCAATCCCAGCCCAAAACATGAGACTTAAATAAAGTATGATTTCTACTTGGGGCTGGAGCCATAGCACAGTGGGTAGGGCGTTTGCCTTGCACGCAGCCAACATGGCCGACCCGAGTTCGATTCCTCCACCCCTCTCGGAGAGCCCAGAAAGCTACCGAGAGTATCTCACCAGCACGGCAAAGCCTGGCAAAGCCTGGCAAGCCACCCGTGATGTATTCGATATGCCAAACACAGTAACAACAAGTCTCACGATGCAGATGTTACTGGGCCCGCTCGAGCAAATCGATGAATAACGGGAAGACCGTGACCGTGATTTCTACTTGTCGATGAATTCAAAGGAGGAAAGAAAATCTGTTCTATCTATCATACCTATAAATGCCTTATAAATGTCAGGTCATGCTGTTCTGGAGCCCAAATGCTCCTTGGGACTCCTGGGCCCAGTTGGGAAGTGAGAAAGGACTGAGCTTTTCCGAGTGTTTCGGTCTCCGAGGTTTCCGCCCAGTGACCCTGGACCTGACTCACAGAGAGCAACCCGTGATCAGGCCCAGGATTGCCCAGAGCTGGACAGCAAGCCACGATGATGAGGACATAGCGGGTTAGTGTTCGCCAAGACCCGGGATCGACTGCAAGCTTCGATAATGGACCAAAACCCAAAAAAATCTCTCAGAGAAGAGCAAAGAAGCTTCGTGATGTCACAAAATGTCCCAGACCAGACCAGAAGGACAGGGGCATAAAGTACTTACGAGTGATATGGTGCCTTCATTCGAGAGCAGGTAGCAGAGGCTGGCAGCTTTCCGCACCAGCTGCTCCTGGCTGACCAAGTTAGGGGATGCACCTGAAGGTCCCCCCGAGCCCCTCTTGTTCAGAACTGCGTAAAGGCTGCAGGCTGCAAAAATAAAAGCATCAGGGAAGCTGGCAGCTCCAGAGCGCCAAGAAGTGCTCTGGCCGACTTGAGTACGTCAGATTACCTTAACTGCTAATACAACAAAAATAGGACCCTACATCCCCTGGACACATGGATTTTTATAAATCCCTGCCTGATTACTGTCCAGTCACCCCTGTGGTCCCAACTCCATCACACTCCCATTTGGGGAGCTTCAGTCTCCTCCACACTCCTCCTCTACTTCCTCATTGTCACATATGAGTGCCCTCTGTCCACTTCAATGCCACGTCTGTGTAACATCTCATTTAGCTGTCCTGCTGTTCCTGGAGAGCAAGACACCTTGCCTGTCCTCCTTAGTACAGAGGAATACTGTGCATTCTGTAACTAAAAGACTACGGAAATACTTGTCCCAAAAAATGGGAAAAGATAGCACAGCGGTAGGGTGTTTGCCTTACAAGCGGCCAACATGGCTGACCCGAGTTCGATTCCTCCGCCCCTCTCGGAGAGCCTGGCAAGCTACCGAGAGTATCTCATCCGCACGGCAAGCCTGGCAAGCTACCCATGATGTATTCGATATGCCAAACACAGTAACAACAAAGTCTCCAATGGAGATGTTACTGGGCCCGCTCGAGCAAATCGATGAACAACAGGAGGACCATGACCATGACCACGAAGCTATAGTATTTATACTTTCATTAGAAAACTAAAAACAGAGCAAACAGGGGTCCCATTGCCCAAACCGAATTCAACTGACCATGTGTCTTAAGCCCCTTTTCTTTTCCATGAGAACACATACCTATGATGGCCTCCATGATAAAGACGTGTAGGACGCCATTGCTGTAGAAGTTGAGTTCAAAGACTGATGGGACCGTGGTGCTGGGAGTAATAAAAAACTCATCATTCCTGCTGGTGTGGGTGATGGTGACACAGTTTCCCAGCAGCTGGATGGCGTGCATGACCACATCTTCTGAATTTCCAGAGAACCCCAGGTCAAAATCACGAGCCAGGACTTCTTCCTTCATCACAAAGAAGTCCTCCACCAGTGTGGAGAGATCAATGCCCTAGAGAAACCAACAGAAATGGTGAAATAGTACCTGCCAAAAGGCAAGAGAGGCTGTTCAAGGCACTTTTCTTCTTGCCTTGCCTTTCCACACGTACAGAACACCCATGCAGAGTTATTCTGCAAAGGGGTGAAAAAAATTAGACCTCCAAGGCCAGAGAGATAGTACAAGGGATAAGATGTATATACCCCCCATACAGCTGACAATGGTTTGATCTCCGGCATTGCCTGGACAGTCTGGAGTCCCACAAGCACCACCAGTATGGCCCATGTAATCCTGGCACCACAAGGCCCAATCGGCGCTGCATCTTTGTGCCAGCCTCATTGGCTGAGAATTTAACAAAGAAAAAGGAAAAGCCAGTAACTGGATGAGTACACACAGCACTAGCCACAACACTGAGCACACAGGATCCCAACGAGGAGGAGCGCACCCATCAGAAAGTCAACAGTGCTTGTGCTGCTCGCAGGAATTTCCCCAGATGTTCTATTCCACTCCGGGGGACTTTGCGGACATACCTGCCTGTGTCTGTAGAGGAGCAGGCAGGCCACGATGTGTGTTGACATGATGGCACAGGATTTGCTAGCAGCTGGAAGGCAAACACCACGCATTAGCTGTACAGATACGTAAAATAGAGATAAAACTCGTGGTGAAGGAGATTCTGAAAGTGGTTACTTAGAAGTAGCCAAAGTACCTAAATCTGAGTCCTCCATCCACATCCTCCACCTGTGATTTACCAAAAGGAACTTGGACCATTACATGGCATTGTGGCAATGCAACCTCATTGAGCTCACTATTCATCAGAGCCAATACGAGAAAATTCAATGCAAGACAGATCACCCTTCATGCAAGGGGATGTAGAGACTGCATCCAGGGCACAGTTAGGAAAACATCCTGATCCCAAGCACGGGCCAGTCCCAGGAGCTCACCTGTAAGTGCTCCTAGACTCGGGCTACTAGAACGGCAAGTCTACTCTTGAGCAAGGATTTACCACCACACTGACCCACAAATGGAGTGGGGGTGGATGAATCTGAAGTCAGAGATTCTGAGTTCAAATTCTAACTTCTACACTGATTTCATGACTTGGAGAAAAGTACGTGAAATATCAAGCCTCAGCTTCCTTGTTGGCAAAATGAAATTCTCACCTACTTGACTGGGCCATATAAAAATAAAACAATTTTCATCCAGGTCCGAAGGTAGGTCAGAGTTAAGAAGGAAGGAGGTAGAAACACCTTTGAAAATGACTGCGGTCCACAGCCCAGCACTCAAAATGTATGGAAAATCATCATTACATAAATTAAACATGAGAATGTCCAAGGAGTAATCTGAAATCAGGACATGATTTGCAAATATTTTTAATTACTATAGATTCACAAATTCACCCTGAACGAATGGTTTGAGGCTCTTCGTGTTCCTGGAGCGAGCAGACGCCACTGGGCTACACTAGCATGCAACAGGGATAAATGGAGATGGTACTGGCGCCTGCTCGAGCAAATCGATGAGTAACGGAATGTCAAGTAATCAAGTGATCAAGACTCACAAATACTTCATTGTTATTGTACCTAGTGCTCAAATACATACACACACACACACACACACACACACACACACACACACACACACATATATAAGACAGTACAGTGGGCATTTGCCTTACACATAGCTGAACCAGATTCACTCCCCAGCACTATATATATGGTCCCTCTAAGTCCTACCAGAAGTGATCCGTGGACACAACTGGATGTGGCCCAAAATCAAAAATGAAACAAACTTGAAAAAAAACACCCTAGACTACCTAGTATCCTATGTATGGACATTACAAAGAACGGTTCACCGTTCACGGTCCTCCCGTTGTTCATCGATTTGCTCGAGCGGGCCCAGTAACGTCTCCATTGGAGACTGTGTTGTTACTGTGTTTGGCATATCGAATATGTCACGGGGAGCTTGCCAGGCTCTGCCGTGCGGGCGAGATACTCTCGGTAGCTTGCCAGGCTCTCCGAGAGGGGCGGAGGAATCGAACTCGGGTCAGCCATGTTGGCAGCTTGTAAGGTAAACACCCTACCGCTGTGCAAAGAACATCTATAAAAAATTTAAAAGCCTGAATATTTGATTCAAAACTGCATAACAACGAGGTTGAAAACCCTCAAAGCGACACCCTGACTGCTCGCGCGTTGGGATTTGCATGGCCTCCCAGCCCATCAACATTGAGGCATGTTATTATTAGCATCCAGACTCAAGACCATCAGATGTGCTGAGAAAGGTGGCCGGGAGCAGAGCAGTTGCTGTGGAAGGAGCAAGCCAAGAGGAGGAAGACTCAGCAGGAATCGCTGAGGGGGACCTGGACAGCAGACAAGGATGAGGACGACCTGCCACCTACAGGCTGGACCATGGGTCCCGCTGCAGCTGCCGTTGCAACTGCTCTTGTAGGACATTAAAGCTGCCTTGACCCAACAATGCCGTCAGAACTTCAGGACACTGATCATGCCCTCCCTGACCCCTGCTCCAATCTGGGTCTTCCCACCCAGCTCTCCAAACAAGGACCGATGCTCGTGACGACAGGGATATTCATGATCCCGCAGGTGGTCCCGGCAGCTAACACTGGGCTCTCCACCTTCACAGCTGCTGAGTGCAGCACCCACAGATCATCTGCGTGGCCAGAGGGAAGGGCACACGCATACGACTATAAACGAGGCGCTGTTATCACAGTTCCAAGGAACGAACTCCTGAGACTGGCAGTTTCCTGAAAGATTAAGAAGCGACAGGCGAGCGCCCACTACTCGGCAGGTGAAGGCGCCACACAGGGGATATCGCTTGCTAAATGGGTCCCTCAGCACCACCTCGCTCCTAGCAGCCTTCCAACTCCCCGTTGGCATGCTGGGTGGCTGAACCAGATGCACAGGCAAACCTTTGCACACTCCCAAGCCGTGTGTTGTGCACGGCCTGACCCTGCGCTGCAGGTCGAGAAGAGCTGGGCCTCCCACTTACTGAAGAGGATGTGCTCGGCCAGATTGGCGATCAGTCTCCTGCGGAATGACTCGTCGGCTGCATTTCTCGACTCGTTGATGGCTGATGCATCTGCGCCTTCTTCAGCGGCATCATTGGGCCTGAAAGGTTTCGGGTTTTTTAATTAGCTCTTTTTAATTACTATAAGGCAAGTTGGATGGGAGAAAGGTTTTTAAACATACTGGATACTTGGAAGCAATATGTGTTCCAAATTTAAACCATAAATAGATACACTTTATGTATGGTAGGCACATTACTTGTGAAATCCATTGAGAAATGCACAAAACATTTATGACATTTCTGGTTTTCCTGTTTGTTTACATGTTTTGGGCCACACCTGGCAGCGTTCAGGGCTTACTCTTGGATTGGCACTCAGGGATCACTCCTGGTGGCCTCAGGAGACCATTTAGGGTGCCAGAGACCAAACCCCGGTCAGCCCTGTGCAGGGCAAATGCCCTACCCACTGTACTATCACTCTGGCCCCTGTATGCCATTTCTGAAGACAAGATTCTTGAATACATTAAAGAACTTACTATTCTTTTTTTTTATTTATTTAACTATTCCATTTTCTAAGTTATGATTCAACTCAAATTCTACAGTTGGGGGCAGTAGTGGGGGGAAAACAAAGCTTTTATATGTATAACTTTGTATAACATGCATAAACCACTAAAAAGAATTCATTTCCAATATACGAGAGCATTTGCCAAAGAATGAATCACAGAACCAAAAGATTTTACAATGCAAATAATCAAAGACCTCCAGACTGATACAAAAACATGTCACTTGAATATGTTTTGTTGGACCAAAAGAAAAGCTTTTCAGGTAGCTCCTCAAGGAGAAGTGAAATGCAACACATTCAATGCAAAGCACACGAGGGAGCCACTCTCACCTGGAAGGAAGGATTGCTGGCAACAGCGCCTGTTCCAGGGAGACGGGTGCAGATGCTGGCTTCTGACTCTGGCTTTCTAAATATTCCTGGGAAACAACAGAGCACAGCCATTCATTCTCGGCCTCTTGCTCGCGCCAACACAGAGGAGACATCATTTAATCTTCAAAAAGGCAGAAGGCAATAAATGGCTTATAAACTGGGCCGTGCTACAGAGGATGAGCAATATTTTCTCCATCCTGCACACTCTGCACACTCTTCACAAGCCCAGAATGACTCAGCACGCTACCAGGGATAAAATCCAAGAACTGAAGACCCGAAGAAGCAGAGAGTGCTGCTTCAGGAACACTGTTTTACCACAAGAGAAAATATTTTAACTTGCCTCATGATTATTAAATAAAAAAAAAAAAAATTACACTCCCAGTGCAAATCTGCTCATCAACACATCCATACTTTAAAAAAAAAAAAAAATCTGACCGCTTGCAAGCCACAAATTAGTCCAAAGAACCTTAATTCAAAGGCGGATTCTAACAAGAGAGAACCTGTACCATGGCCACAGTCAAACAAATCCAAGAGAAAGGGTAGAAAGAAATGACGAGATTCTTAAATCTCACAGGAAATGAGCGTCTGCTCGGGAAAACTGCAAAGCAGAACAGAGTGGTGGGACTTAGGCTCCTCAGCCCAGGCTGGCCAGTCCTCTCCTCTGCCCTCTTTCCCCAGGACAAGGAGCCTGAGCACCTCGGGAACCTGCCCTCGCTGGCTGCTCCCTGTCCACGCTGTGGGCATCAGAGTTCGATCAGCAGGTCAGTCTGATAGCAGTGGACTGTCACTGTCACTGTCCTCCCGTTGTTCATCGATTTGCTCGAGCGGGCCCAGTAACATCTCCATTGTGACAACTGTTACTGTGTTTGGCATACTGACTACGACATGGGTAGCTTGCCAGGCTTTGCTGTCCGGGCAAGATACTCTCGGTAGCTTGCCGGGCTCTCCGAGAGGGGCAGAGGAATCGAACTCGGATCCTCCATGTTGGCCGCTTGCAAGGCAAACGCCCTACCCACTGTGCTATTGCTCCAGCCCATGGCAGTGGACATAGCCTGCTTTGCCCAGCTCTCAGGACTCATGTTTTCAAAAACTTCTCCAAGGGCAAGTTCAAACCAGAACAGGGAGTGTTGATGATATACAGATGCACAACACAACATGGAAAGCACGGATGTTGAAAAACAGCAATGAATGTCAAGATCAGTATCTCCCAAAGGCAAGAAAAATTCACTCTTCTTGGTCAACGCATGTGCTGTGGTAGAAAAATCTAGGAAACACCATCCTATCACCACCCTCTGCTTTCAAGAGAGGACAGTGAGGCCCGGATCCTACAGAGCAGAGGGAGAGTTGGGGCCCAGGGCCAACCTTGCTGTCCACCTTCTGCATGCAGCCCTGCTAGGCCCCCAGGGACACTTGCCTTCAGGGAAAACGGCTGTGCAAAGTCCACCCGGACACACCCGTAGTTCTTCCGAAGCATCCGAATAACGCCTCTGGCCACACTCCAAAGACTCTCGTTCTTCTTAGGTTTTCCCTAAATTCCAATTTTGAAAGAATGAGATGGTGAGAAATAAGGCTGATGTACCGCCAACATTCTGTTATCCAACGTAGCATGCACTGTATGTTCTGGAGGCGGTCGTGAAAAAGACCACCAAAAATGAAGGAAAATCAAGACTCCTGACTGACACTGGTCAGAAAATGTTCCGCAATTAAAGATGAACTTGAGACAAATATGAATCTCAGACTTACTTGGTCGACAACACGGTTTTCTAAGTGTTTCCTAGAAAGGGAAAGGGGGTACAAAGGGTGGGGTCGCAGGGGTCATTTTAATAGTGTAATGGCACCGAAAACAACGGAGACAGGCACAGTGAGGACGACACACATATGCTCCTCAAATGTGACAAGTGTTAGTAAACCAACGCTGAGTCGGTTCAAATGCGATTTAGAAAATTATGCTATGGTCATGTCACTGGGATCTCCATGTCGGCGATGAAAGCCAGAACATGTAATACTGACTCACTGTGTGTGCAGCTGTGCACAAGAATTCAAGTGGCGACTAGTTCAAAACAAAAATGCTCAGGAGCCTGGAAAGCCGGTTCGCTGTGAGCAGGAGAAGGGAAGGCGTCAAAGAGGCCCTGGTCTGAGGTCTGACCATCACCAGAACCTCAATACCTTCCGGTGGATAATGGAACACCAGCTCCAGCCTGGCAGTGGCCTTTAACTCACTGCCCATTTCATAAGCAGGTACTGACTTGTGAAGAGCCATCAGGCACAATGATGGCCACATAATGGATACAGGACTCAGGCGGGACCTCAGGAGGCTCAGGCAGAGCAAAGAGCGTAGACAGGACACTCACACAGTGTGGGGCAAACCCTTAAGACATATCCAGGTAGTTATCAGGGTTACAGGCTTATTTTTCAATATCTCAAGTATCCCAAGTTCCCAGGCGTCTTTCTGGTATTTGGATGGGGGATGAGAGGGAGTGGAGGCTGTAGTATACTTGAAACAAACATCTTGGCCAAGACTTCCACACTAAATAGAACCAAAACTAAATCCCTTTAGAATTCATACCCTGCTGGTAGAAACCGTGAAGGTACTTTGAAATGTATTTGGGGATGGCAAATTGTATTTTGCTATATGTATTTTGAAGGACTGGCAGTACCTGCGAAGCTAAACACAGAGGTACCACCCATTCTATTCCAAAACACAGACAAGTGAAATGCATACAAAACATAGGTCATTAAGCCGGACATCCAGGAATGAGTCCCATCCCCAAAGTGGAAATCGAACTCCCTTCCGCCACTGGGCAACCAAGCGTCTATTCTTACGATGGAATGCCATCTGTCCGTACGAATGGGGACACTCTAACTAGAGGCAACAACGCGGTTGACTCACAGGCAGCTGCTAGAGCAAAGCACACTGGATGCGACAGAGTCTACACACTCACAGTAGCAGGCTGAGAGGCACAAAACATGCGCAATCGATCTGCTCTGTCAGAAGTCAAGGGGAAGCTGTGCTTAAGGGAACAGTGGAGAAAGCAGTAGAAGGGGTTGGTTCCCAGGTCAGTAGTGCTGGTTACATGGGCATGCGCACTTTCTGATCATTCATGCATGCTTACGGCTCATATAGTCTTCTGTACCTATTCTACTTCAGTGTAATAAAAATGTATTGACACTCCTCAAATTAATTTATGGTTGCTTTTCAAACATGTTCCCAGCCATGCCACAGGCCCAATTTAGAAGCTGCACAAAAGGAGACCCTGGGGAGAATGAACCTCATGTAATTCCCCACATGGCAGCTCTATGCTAAGCCTCTCCCTTCTCCCAGCCCTAGGTCCCAGGCCAATACCGAGGAATGGATTCGGTTCCAGCAAGTCCAGAAAGCACCACGTCAGCATTACCAACCAAAACGAGAGAGGCGGCGAAAGCCACTGTCCAGGCCCCCCTCACCCTGTCTCTGACTGTGCTCTAGGATTGGGGAAACTAAACACCATTCTTAGTTAAACCTAAACACATTGATCCCTCAAAGAACAGAAGCCTCTGTCTTCAGGAGTCCTCTTACCAGCTGTTCGCCATTGTAGTGGCCTTCAATAATACGATCATAGGCGATTCCAACAGGTATTACCAGGATGTCTGGGATGGTGTTGGCAGACAGAGTATCCACCACTACTGACAAAAGGCCTGCTCGAGCACAGGACGTTTTCCCACTCCTAGAGCGTGTCCCCTCCAGGAAAATCTCCAAGAACTGTTGTTGTCGAAGGAGTTCAACTACATGCTGGAATACAAGGAAAAAGTAAAGCATGAACTTAAGATCACACAACACAGGACAAAAACTCAGCATGCTCCATTTTATTTTTTTTTTATTTCTTCGTGTACTTTTTTTTTATTAAAAATTTTTTTAATAGTGAGACATCATGAGGTACAGTTGCAGACTTACACATCTTTGTGCTTGGGTTTCAATCATACAATGATCAAACATCCATCCCTCCACCAGTGCCCATTTCCCACCACCACGGATCCCAGTATCCCTCCCACCCCCCATCCTCCCCATCCCACCCTGCCTCTGTGGCAGGGCATTCCCCTCTGTTCTCTCTCTCCTTTTGGGTGTTGTGGTTTGCAAAAGAAACATTGAGTGGCAATCATGTTTGGTCTATAGTCTACTTTCAGCATGCTCCATTTTAAAACAACCAACAACCACCACAAAAACATTCTGACTTGACTACTGAAATATATATATTTAGTATCTATTTTATATTAGCACATTATATTTTGGTGTTATCAATAATTAATCTAGCCTCTCACCCAAGCAATAATCACTCAAATAATTAAAAATCTCCCTCAAGTCCATCCTTTCATCCACACCCACAGGGAAAACCATCATCTGGGCTTTAAGGGTAAAAGGTGGCACATACCCCGTGGAGCAAAGCTCTGTAGAGAATATCTTTCCGTCCATCTGGCGTTTCATCTAGCCTCCGTCGTATGAAAAAGCCCCCAAGCTTGTGGATCAACGTACTATGAATTCAAGAATGCATTAATTATTTATGAAGAAAAGTATCAAAGAAAGACTCAAATCCAAATTATTTCCTAATATTTGCCATTTGGGTATAAACCATGTACATCGTTTGAGCTACTGACAACACCAATATGCTATGTTTCCATTATTGACTCATTTCAGTTATTTGTACTGTTCATCAGCCTTCAGAATTTCACTGTGCAATAAAGACCTACTGTGCCTGCTCCAAGCTATTACCCCACGAAGGTGATGGTACGGATTCTAAGAGTTATGACAGGTTCTACCCTTTTCAAATTCTGTCCAGTATCTCAAGACACTGACTGCTAGACATCCTAAAATTTTCTTATAGCACATTTATTACAAATGAAAGCTCCTTTAGGAAAACTCTCTCTCTAAAAAAAAAAAAAAAACATACTGCTTAGAGCAAGTACATGTGAGAAAAGGACAATTTTATCACATTGAAAGCAAGCACAACCATCCTTCCAAAACATAAAACAGAAACCTGCTGCATGGACAGAGAGAGGAGTAAAACAATTCTCTTCACAAACCCGAGTCTCTTTCTGCAACACTGATTTAAGTCAACTTCTCCACACTCGAAACTTCATCCTACTCTTTTCAAACAGTGACACTAATATAAGTATGCATTTCAGTATCTTTGAGATTCAATTATGAAGGTCTCAATAAATGGCCCCAGACTTATATCACTCTTTGAGAATAGAACTGTAGAATAAATTCATATAAAAAAATAAATGTGACGAACCATCCACAAAGATTCCTCCTTAGAAGTGGATGCTGAAAACAAGAGACTTACAGGTATCAAGAGAAAGTAGACAACAGACTGGGATGTCTATTGCCTAGTATATCTGAATGAATGATGAGCTAAGCCTGTAGTTCAAGAAAAGGAATCCTGGGGGCCAGAAAGGTAGTACAGCAGGCAGAGTCCTTGCCTCACACATGGCTGACCCAGGTCCAATCCCCAGTATCCCTTACCAACCCCAGAGCTCACCCTTCTCTGAAGGGATCCCTAAGCATAGAGCCAGCAGTAAGCCCTGAGCTCTACCAGGTGTGGCCCAAATACACACACACACACACACACACACACACACACACACACACACACACAACACAGGAAAAAAAATGAGTGAGAGAGAGAGAAAGTATGTTGGGTTATGAGAGATGCTTAGTGTTTAAGCACTTGTAAGTGGAGAGCCAGACCTGAAGAGAAATGAGTGCTGAGTTGTTCTGATTATAGGCAAGGCAAACGACCGTGTAGCAAGATTTCTCGAGAGCCCAAACGGAACAGTCCTCTTTGCTCAACTTTTCTACCCACCAGCAATTTTCTGATCATTTCTAATTTGGCGTTCTGGGTCCTTAATAAAGGGAATTGGTGGCCAGGAAAGTAAAATATGCTATTGCCCAGAAGGCATGTCTATCCTCGATGGCAGGGGCCTCTCTGTTGTGTGGCTGTTGTTTGTCTATCCCTGCCCCCTCCCCATCATACTAGGCACTATTTGAAGGCAAAGTCTATGCATCCTGTTACATCTTCTGTAAGCACAGCTACGTACCGACTGGCAAAATGAATGAATGCCTTCTTTTCCAGCATTCACATGGGTATGATTCCATATGGAACTTGGAATCAAAGGATTAGGAAGGCGTTCCCTGGACTATAAGGCTGAGGATCAGACTTCACTGCATGCAAAGGATGCCTGCCACCCAGCTAGACCCAACTTGCCATGCTGCCAGCCCACTGCCCTTCCCGCCACTCTCCAGACGGAGCTCCTCACAGTCTCCCCTTTACAGAGCAGACCTGACTAACCATCCCCTAGGCCTATCCAGATACCACTGCTAAGACCTGGGTGCCTCCCTCCCTTCCTGCCCCTCTGTGGAGCCATAGCTGGACTAGCACAATTCCTAAAACAGTCTCTAAATCTACGCCCCACCCTCCAAGAGCACTCAGAAACTCTTCATTTAAACCTCCAATATCTTTCACCAGAACTAGGCAACAGACAGAACTGATTTCACCCCTTCTAATCCAAAATGACTTTCCAAGACACAAAATTACACCTGTCATTTCTCATGCTTGGGGCACACTAGACTCCAGCTGACAAACTGTTTGGGATCCAGTTTTCACTACCAATGCAGTCTCTACCTCCAGTCTGTGATCCTTTCCAAACATCCAACATCCTAATTCTACTGAGCATGGCTGCCATGGACACACTATTTCCTCTGCATGCCATAGAATATACTCCCAAGGTAAACCTCTAGAGCACACGTTATTTTCTTTTTCTGTTTTGAGTGACAGCATAGCGGTAGGGCGTTTGCCTTGCGTGCAGCCAGCCCAGCCGAGCCGGGTTCAATTCCTCCACCCCTCTCAGAGAGACTGGCAAGCTACCAAGAGTATTCAATATACCAAACACAGTAACAAGAAGTCTCACAATGGAGACGTTACTGGGCCTGCTCGAGCAAATCGATGAACAACGGGAGGACAGAGAGTGAACAATGTCTCTTCTAGCTCTACTCCATTAGGAGATTAAAGTAACAGGTAGAGTTCTTCTGTTTTACCCCTAGGTTATCACCTCACTATTCGGGTACCCCCATTCTAACCCCACTCCCTACTGCCAAGCCAAAGCAATCTGGCTCTCCTGTATTCCCAACTGCATTTCATGCACTTGTTAAATCATCACCATACAACTGAAGTATTGTTTTCACCAACTCTGCCCTATAAATCACAGAAACATGAGCCCGGGGTGTAGCCCAGCACTAAAGCATAAACCTCACGTGTACAAGGCCCCGGGTTCGAGACACAACACCCCAAATTAAAGGAATAACACACAAAAAAATGGTGATAGCCTTCATGCCTTTACATACAATTTAAATTTTCTAAAAATACCATGCATTACTTTTATACTAAGGGTAAAAAAAATGCTGCCATTTTCACATCGCATATATCAAAAAATAAAAAAGCATATTCAAAATGCAACTTTTTATAACTTTAATTTCAAAATAGTCTGTTTTTACTTTGAACAACTTGGAGCCAAGGAAATGGCTCAAAGGCTGGAGTGCATCTTTGCCTGCAGGAGCCCTGGGTTCAGTCCCTGACACTACATGGTTCCCCAAAGCACTGAGCTCCGGAGTAACAAAAGAAACAAACAAACAGGAAAAGCTGGTCTTACCTGAAGATGGGGATGTTGAGATTATTGCCTGAAGCAATATAAGGCGCTTTGATGTTATGGCAGAAGAGAATGAAAGTGAGCAGCAGATAGTCAATATGTGATCTATGAACTGGTAGAAATATAAGCGGCAAATTTGTCTAGTAAAGGGAAAAATGCCAAATTTAAAATTCAAAACGTAGAGTTCAGTCATCATACTTTGCAACTTCATACCTGGTCAGAGTCACTTCTGGCTAGTCAGTCACTTGCCCTAAATAAACATTTTCCAGTAATATGAACATCTTTTATTTTAATACTTAGCTGGCTGAAAACAACAATAACGGCCACAAAGAATCTGAAGAAGAGTAATCAGGAGCTCAAGCCCATTCCATAAACTGAGAGGGAGGTCTAACCAAATAAATGACTTGAATATCCCAGGCCAAGTCATTTATTAACTGCTACTTTCTTGCTGGAGCGATAGCACAGTGGTAGGGTGTTTGCCTTGCACGCAGCCAACATGGCCGACCCGAGTTCGATTCCTCCACCCCAGCAAGCTACCGAGAGTATCTCGCCCACACGGCAAGCTCCCCGGGACGTATTCGATATGCCAGACACAGTAACAACAAAGTCTCCAATGGAGACGTTACTGGGCCCGCTCGAGCAAATCGACAAACAACGGGAGGGCCTTTACCTTTTTTACCTTTTACTTTCTTGCTACTTATCATAAAGGGTCAAATCTTCCCAAATGGTCAGAATCAACAAGCATATACAAGAATATATTTCTTGAGGCCCGAGATATATCACAGCCTCACAGCCACTAGGGCGCCAGCCTTGTATGTAGTCAATCTGAGTTCAATCCCTGGCACCCCATATAGTCCCATGAGCCTGCCAGGAGTAATTCCTCTGTATAGAACCAGGAATGACCCCTGAGCACTGCTAGATGTAGCCCCAAAAACAAAATAGTAACAAATACATATATGTAACATATATATGTATACACACACACACACACACACACACACACACACATACATATATATGTATTTTAACTCCAAAACTCTATAAACATGGAGAAAAACAAACAAGCAACAGATCGACATGGTTCTTGCCTCAGTCGCAGCTTTCACCATCTCCAACTGGCCCTTATGAATCTGAATGTTCCAAAAGAAGCTGTTGAAGAGTTTGAGCAGCACCCACCCGGTCAGTCTGAAAGAAGTAAAATAAGTGGGTGAATAATAAATGTGTCTACACGTAGATGGATATGTAGCTGACTTCAACTTCAACTCCACTGAAGGGTGCTGAACCTCCCCTCAGTGAGCGCTTGTGTATGGATTAAGTTGCTAACTGACACATATGTAATTTACAGAAATATTTATAACGCAACAGGATCTTACATTTCACTCCAAGAGCACACACTTCAGAAGCAAATGGTCAAGAAATCCTTAGGAACACAGAGAATACTGAGGTGGACAAAATAACACAAAAGCACTTCCAGGGGCCCCAGAGACAGGCAGGGGGAAGACCCTTGCCTTGCCTGAGGATACCCCAGGTTCAATCCCCAGAACCACATATGATCCCCTGAGCCCTGTCAGGAATGTCCCTAAGCACTGAGCCAGGAGTGAGTCCTGAGCATCCCTGGGTATGGAACCATTCCCCAGGGCCCCTCCCAAAAAAGACCTCACTTTAAGAAATAGGTCCATGAAATCTGGCTTGCTCTCAGTCAGAAAATAGCTGCCATCCATGCAGTGATTAAGACCTTCCCGGGTGCTGCCTCCCACCCAAAGTAAGAGTTTCCAAAGGGCATGGTTTAACCTCAGAACATGACCTAGTATTTGGGGGCCAAGAGCTCTGTGCTGGCAAAGGAAGGTCCCGAGTCCTGTCTGTTCCACACACCTTCCCTGCCTTGCCTTTTCATACCTGATCATTGCCGGTGAGACCGTGGCGACCATTTCCTGAAGGATCCTTTTGGCTTTCTTGTTCACTTTGCTGATGGCTTTTGACTGCTGCTGGGCGGACCCATCAGGATTTAACTCAGCAGCCACTTCTGCGATTGCCTCTTGCACTCTGGTTAGGAAACCCAAGAGAGTGAAGACACAATGTAACTGGCTCCCAGCTACTTTGCTTTCAGTCATTTCTAAACTGTAACTACGGACAGCAAAACAAAATGGTCTTTCCTTTTACTCTATCATAACATTGAGGGATCATATCAAGTGATTCTGTTATACTAGCTATTAATTAGTAAGAACATTCATATTTCAAAGTGAAACAATCCCTGAGGAATCTGAGAAGCAAACTGAACAATGTAATTCAAAGTCACTGGCTAGCAACTAAGTGTCTCTGAATACTCTGGCTATGCTGTTAGGGACACAAAGTTGCAGGAAGAGAGAAAGGAAGCTTCCACTGAGCCACGTAATTCAGAAGTATCCAATGCTTACTGCCAAAGCAATGTGAGATTTTTCTTCTGAAGACCTAATTTATTAATCATGAATACTGTGACATTCCCAGATGAATTATACGCAAAATTCTCTGGATGGGATCAAAATGGAACATAAATATTTACAAGTGTTTTCCAACTCAAAGCAGAAACTTTAAAAATGCATAGCTCTACGGGAAAATAGCAGAGCCAGGGGCAGGGACGCAAAAGGGAAAGTTTAATCCGGCTTTGTCAATCTTCCAAGTGGTTCTGGAAGGATGCCTTAGGTTAAATGTTCTCAAATCACTTCTAACATCCAAGTTACTATCACTACATATCTAGATGGAATGAAATATGCATGAAAGTTTTCACCTAGAAAATAGAATATGTAATAATCCAAGAAAGTTTCAAACAATCTTTTTTTCTCTCTGTTGCTACTAGTTTCAGATTGCAGCAAAAACTGTTTTTGTACAGCAAAAATTCCACACAGCCCCCAAATTCATACTACTAAAAGACCAGTTTTTCAGGACACTGAAGCAGTCTGAGTTTATTTATCTATTCTTCAATTTTTTTATTTGTTTTTGAGCCACACCCAGTGGTGCTGAGGCTCATGGCTTATTCTTGGTTCTGTATCAGGGTCACTCCTGGCACGGCTGAGGAAACCTTATGGGAGCCAGAGATGAACCCAGATTAGCCGCATGAAAGGCAAGCGCCTTACCCATTGTATTATCTCTCTGGCCCTGAGTTTATTCTTTTGAAGCACTGTTTCCTTAGAAAGCACTTATTTCAATCTGGCCAGGAAAATAGTCACAAGCAACAGACTCATATCATTATATTATCAACAGACTATTAGATCTCTTATGTTACTTATTCAAAAAATTCATTCATTCGTTCAATATTTACCGAGCACTTAGCACAGGTTGGTCTATTCAAGCTTTAGCAATCAAACCACAAGGCCTACATCTCTCTGAAGGCTTTCAACACACCTGGTTTACCACTCCCCAGACCGAGGTAGATATCCACCACGACATCAAGCCATATTTCATTGCCTAGACTTCCAAATGATTGCTTCCCACTACACCGGAGTTCAGTTCAGTGTTTCCTATTTGACAACAAGCTCCTCTGGGACAATAGTAATTTCTAATGGATATTTTTCAGAACAAGATAATTTGAATAGGTACTCAAGGGTTTTTTTTTTTTTTGGGGGGGGGGGTTGGTTTTGTTTTGCCTTGTTTTGCTTTTTGACAGAAGCATCAAGCTTGCTTCTCTCTTGACTACAAGATAGGAAGTGCAATGTCCCAAACGTTTATAATCAGAGAAATCTGGCAATGTGTGTCTCTGAGCTCCTGCCTGCCTTTCAGGTGGCAGAAAACCACCTAATTACTAATCCATAAGATAAGATTGGTGTTGCCCCATGGGCCTGCTCCCCAAAATCTTGTTTTTCTTTTTCTTGGTTTTCTTTGGATCTTAACATTTAATATTTAGGAAAAAAAAATACATCTGGAAACCCAAAGAAACCAAAGGTTAACAAAAGAAACTGCCCCCTCGTCCCCCTCCCCATCGCCCACTCCCCTGGCCAGTACTCATTCCGGCCTCACCTACTGCTGCTCAGCACATTTTCAGCCACGTTGGTGGCAAACATGCCTTTGTGAACATCTCGCTCCTGAACAAAAAGCACGTAGGAGAGACGCCTTGCGAGCCAGCCTCGGTGCCTGTAATGAGACAATGAGGTCGTGGAGAAGTTAAGTCTATAGCATCAAAAGCAAGAGGCTGCCATTCTGCAATGTGGGAAAAAAATTCTTGCTTTATCCACTCCACCAACATGGGGTTGTAGAGTAGAGTCACCAAGCGCTGCAGGAGTGATGCAGGTAATTCTAGTCCGACTTTCTTTCATGCACCCTTGACTATGTGACTTGAGACTGAATATTGTGAATTGCTGTTTGGGTAGTGTTACTCTGCCAAACAGCCCAAATACAAAACCAAGTCATAAGTCACAAAAGAGTTTCTCAAAAGAGGCTCGCATCTTCTGAAACTCTATAGGCTTAAGCAAATTTCAACCAGTTACACTGCTTTATAAGTTGCATGTACAATAAACCATATTAGGAGATATGTAAACATTTAGCTCTCCTTAGTTAAAGCCCTTCCACATTTTGGCACATTTCAGTTGCCAAGTCAAGAGAAGAGTCAGTTGGAGATAGCTGTAAGAGACACCTGCTCTCATGGAAAGACTTATCCGAGCATCATGGCAGCATTAAGAATCACAAGTGTCCAGTTTTAGAAAAACCTTCCTGTCAGTCTCACATCAACTTTCCAAAACACAAAGACATTAATCTCATCATGAGTATCTACTCTGGAGTTTTCCTTTCAAGATTTAATAGAAATATGAAACTTATTTTACCTTGTGTGAGTTTCATTGATATAAATAACATTCCGCAAACCCAAAGATGGGATACTGGGGTTGAAAAATTTATCCTGCATAAAACAAAAATTAAAAAAAAAATTAATTGGTGTAAATATGCAACTGGATTTAACGACTTTTCTAACTCAAGTACAAAGTTAGGTGTCATATCAAAAATCTAAGTGATGAAAGAAAACTGTGTTTAAGTAAAAAGCACCTTTTTAGTCTTGAAAGATCACTAACTCAAGATAAATACTTAACCCTTAGAAAAAAAAATACATAGTGCATCTTCCTCTCTTGCTAGAGTCCTCCCTTTCCTCCAATCTCTCCTCCCCCCAAGCCCAAAAGATTGAAGCTACATATCATATTAAATCATGACAGGAATACTGGAGATTTCAGTGTCACCCAAACATGAAATATCATGGTAAGTACCATGCAGTTATTTTTATATTACTACGTATCCCAATAATCCTGACACTAACCCTATTAGTGATCATTTGTTGGGGATCATATTCCCTAACATGACTGTCTACTTGGTGAGAAAATATAAGGAAAAAAGTTACTTACTTCACAGGTAACCTGAAAGAATAATTTATAACTCCACTTAGAAATCTTTTCCTGTTTGTGTTTTGGTTTGGGGGCCACACCTGGTGATGCTCAGGCTTACTCCTGGCTCTGCGCTCAGGGATGACTCCTGATGGGGCCGGGGAGCACATGGAGCACCGCAGACTGAACTTGGGTCAACTGCATGTGAAGCAAGCAACTGACCCACTGTACTATTTATTTCTCTGGCCCGAAAGACAAAGTCTTTTTACATTTCTTTGTTGAGAGTGGGGGAAGGAGTTTTCTTGGGGCCGCTTCCATCTCAGTGCTCAATGTGGTGCTCGCTTTCGGTGGTGCTTAGGGGCCTATGCGGTACCAGGGACAGACCCCCGGCCTCTGGCATACAACATATGTGCTCCATTCCTCTGTGCCATCTCCCAGCCTGTGAAAGTCTAACTTTACTTATCAATGAGGACAAAAAGGCAAACTCCCCAAATATAAATGCTGAGAAACCATGATATGTCTCTAGCAGAAGACGTGAAACACTTAAGTAAAATCTTCACAGAGAAAAGGAAACACAGAATCTCAGAGAAAGGGCTGCAAATATCAAAACTTAAAAGTGTTGTCAAACTGGGACCAGAGAGATGGTACAGGAGCTAAGGGACCTGGCTTACGTGCGGCAACTCCAGATGGACGCCCAGCATCACCAGGAGTCGTCTGCAGGCACAAAGCCAGGAGCAAGCCCTGGGCACCAGTGGGAGTGGCCCCAAACCAATTAATATGTAAATATTTCCAAATAATACTTTAAAAAAATACTCCATAGATGAACATTAAGGTATGCTCTATCAGGTAGTACGTTTGGGCAAAAATAAGTTATCTTTTAAAAAAATTCACCTACTTCCACCACCAGACCATCACCACCACCAAATAATCTCCTAAACTCTTTCCTGACTAGAGAGTTAAGGTATGGGTTTAGTCTTTTACACATTCAAAATTAGACTTAGAGGAGATGCCAAGTCTAAAAAGAAAAGCCACATGATGTTCTATTTAAATATTTATTCCTACTGTCATATTAATCTCAAGTAGCCCAACTTTAGACTAGATATGTCCTGATCTTCCAACCCATTTTTTTTTGCCGTGAAGCATTTGTGTTTTAAAAGGAACAATATTTATATCAAACATTCTTGAGAAGACCTGAATACTTATCACACATTACTTGGGTGGTGCCCAAATCTCTCCCATGTTAGTAAATCCCTTCATACCAGACTAGGAAATCCATTTCCTGCCAAGTCAACAACGAAGAAAAAATGCACTCACCGCAGTTAGCAAAGTACAGAGCACAAGCAACCCCCCTCAATGACAGAACTTAACTAAATTGGGAGTTTTCTACGTCCTATATAATTGGCCTATTCCAGAGAAGGCTGCATAGGCCTCTTAAAAGGCAAGTTATTGCTTAGAATATAATCACCATGAACCCCCTTGCCTGTGCTCCCTCATCCCTTGGGCAAGCTGCAACGAGAGGCAAATCTCTCCTTCAGTTGATTCTACTCATTCTACTATGTGGCGATGTTATACCAGGGTTTGGGGTTTCCCGTTTGCAGAGAGACCAATTCCACACTTGAGAATGCAAAAGCTAAGGAACCTTTATTTCCAGCTCGAGCTAGGGTCCAAGTGGTTTCTCTGCGAACAGGAAACCCCAAACCCGGACATAAGAGCAACACAGAAAATTGTGCTTGACTTGAGTTTTTCCACATAAAGCCCACAGACGCTCTTAAATCTTCCTCCTGAAATTTTATTGACCATCCTTTTACCATATGATCCCCACAGCCTTCCTCCTGTGTCCCCTCCAAAACAGAGACCTGACAAGAACGAACAGGGTAAAACCATAGCTTATTCTGCCCCCTTATTTTTGCTCTCATCTTGCAAAGATTTTCACATTTAAGTGCTAAAGTTCAGCACCCGAAAGTTACAAGAAGGTTCTCAATAACTTTAGGAGAATTAACTGGAAGAAAAATCTATCCTCTGCCTAAAGTTATAATAAACTTAAAAAAAAAAAACTACCTATCACCTTGCAGCAATTCTAGGGGAACTATCTACTAATAAATAAAAGGAAGAAAATTTGAGCCAACATCTTTGTAATACCACAGGCTTAGGGTCTAAATATGCACTGCTCATTAAGGTAACATCCTAACAAATTCACTAACTTGGAAATCTGAGTTCGGGATTTTGGTCCTTTTATGAAGGACAAGTAGCAGCAGCTTTCTTACCCAGCTCTGAGGCGTGCAGGAGTAACAACACCTTCCCACAAATGGTCTTTTCCGGCTCATTAGGCTTTCTTTCCATTTTAAGGTTGCAGATCTGAACACCGTGGGGCGGAATCCACACTCACCCTAACAAAAATGGTAAGACATTGTGTCTGGATGGCGAGACAAGGATGGCAAGAAACTTCATCTCTAAAATTCAGTTACTTCCTATAGAAAAGACATTGGCAGCATCTATTTCTTTTAGAGCTGTATGTTTCCCAAAGTGCTTTTCACTCAAGGTACCCTCTTCAAGATCAACTTTTGGAACAAAGCTTGGAACATAAGCAAAGTAAAAGTTGGCAACAGCTGTTACACACTCAAAGGCTCATTCATAAGAACAAAGTTGCAAAAGGTTCAAACAGCCTTGTAATACCAGGAGGAAAAAATTCTGCCTCTGGGTCGAGAGTAACAGTCCAGCCAAGTGGCCATTTACCTTGCATAGGGTCCACCTGGGTTCCATCCTCATCCCATGTGGTCCCCCCAGCACCCATCAACGGCCAAGACTCAGAGACTATAAAAACCAGCTCCCGGAAGTGCGCGGCCGCATTTGGGGCCGCACAACATCTTATTATGACATCTTATTATCTCATTCCTACTTTGGACAAATTGGCAGGCTACCAAATGTAACCTGCCCACACGGCAGAGTCTGGCAAACACCCCGTGGCGTACCCAATATGCCAAATACCAGTAACAATGATGGGTCTCATTCTCAAGAGCCTTGAATATAGCACTTTCTTAAAAATCTCAGGGCTAGGATGAAGGAGACGTTACTGGGGCCTGCTCGAGGCAATCGATGAATAACAGGAAGGTCGTGGTCATGGTGGCAGAGCCAGAGTAAACCCTGAGCACTGCCAAGTGTGGTCCCAAAACAAACAAACAAACAAACAAAAATTCCTTAAATTCTCCTTGAATCCTATCATAGAAGTCCATGTTCACTGTATCACTGTATCACTCTCATCCAGTTGTTCATTGATTTCCTCGAGCAGGCACCAGTAATGTCTCCATTCATCCTAGCCCTGAGATTTTAGCAAGTACCATATTGGAGGTTCCTTCGGGTCAGGGGAATGAGACCCATCATTGTTACTGGGTTTTGGCATATCGAGCTTGCCAGGCTCTGCCGTAGCCTGCTGGGTTCTCCGAGAGCCTGAGAGCGAGAACTAGACAATAAGAAGTCCATATTAGTCCCCCTTAAATCATTCCCATAAAAGTGTAACAGCAGCCTTAGATAGTAAGCAAGCTGTTAAAATACAACTCAAAATTATATAACACCGCTTTATTTTAAAAGACAGTTGAAAGACAATAATTTAAATGATAGCTAAGGTGAGCCTCTGTTCTTCTATTATAAAAATTTGCCTCTTTGAGTTATACAAGCTCTTCAGATCCCACTGATAGAAGATTCTCAAGAAGCAGAAACCAAAAAGAGAGACCACAACATTTTTCATATCAAGCACAGGGTGCTCAAGAAATATTCAAAACATGCCATGATGGGTACATAAAACAACATAGGAAAATGCATTGAAATTCATACTGAACTTTCTTATTTTTAATAAAACTTTTTCATTATAAATTTCCTATTAAATATATTATGCAAAATGAATAGAGAAAAATAACTACAACACCCAAAATGACTACTAGCAGTGCTTTTCTAAGTAAATGTATTTTGCCTTTTTATCATAATCACTAGATATTTCTTACCCAATATTTTTTTTTCTTTTTGGGTCACACCCAGCGATGCACAGGGGTTACTCCTGGCTCTGCACTCAGGAATTACCCCTGGTGGTGCTCAGGGGACCATTTGGGATGCTGGAAATCGAACCTGGGTCGACCGCATGCAAGGCAAACGCCCTACCGGCTGTGCTATCGCTCCAGCCCCTTTACCCAATATTTTTTCTCAAACTAACATAATACTCTAAGAATTTTTCAGTGACTTCAGTCACATAAAGTAACAGCTAAAGGCAGTTCTTGTAGCTATAAAGGTGATCTGATAGCACATTACATTCAGAATTTTCCATTTAATAAACAAGACAGTAACGGGGCTCAGTTGAACCCCGTTCTTAAACTTACCCATTCTTCACTGGTGTGCTTACATCGACCAACACTGTATTCAGATGAATTTGGCAGATAAGAAACATCTATGGTGCCAAGAGTCAGTGAAGATTCATCCATGTCATAAAGTGCAATTTCCAAATCATGTGCTACAAAAACACACAGCATATAAGTCAATGAGGAACGCAAATTTCTAACCTCTATATTATTTTGCTTCATAATAGACTGTTAAACAAGCTACTACTGGTAGATGTTTAGTCAAAGTGTAAGACTGAAATTCGATGTGTCTATATGAAACCAGTTAAACTGTTGTTTTTTTTAAATAAAAAACATTTCTAGACATGTCTAGGATTTCTAGACATCCTAAACAAAACAGCTGTGAATTTGCAAGAGTAAAGAAGTTTTTTCCAGGTATGTGACAAATGAAGAATTACATCATTTGTGTGATTATTGTAAAACCTCCTGGCAGCATAAAGGAATGTGTGTATTTAATTTTACATGAATGCACACAAGAAGCCAACTTTCTGAAAATTGTGCACAGGGAATTTCAAGGCACACATTATGCAACATAAAATGAGTAAAGGCAATGAGAGAACTCTGTATTTTACCCCTTACATGGGATTAAGCTCTTGTTTTCTTTTGCCTTAAGTGAAATAATATTTGCACCTTTAACACACCTACCCAATTCTAAAACAAAAGCATACCTTTTGCGAAATATCTGATTTATAACTTTCTTCATTTCAATAAATAAGCCTTATACTACCCTAGGGGTAAATGTTCACTAACATTTAACTACCTGCTAACAAAAAATTGTTAATAACCTCTAATACGAAAACTTCCTAATATTCCCAAATTGTTTTAGCCTTTGGGTTATTTCTCACCTGGTCTTAAATTATTCATCTAAAACCTTGAAGGGTCATGTCAGGTTAATAGTGTTTCTTGGAGGACATATTCTGAATTCTGTTCAATCCCCGCGAGACTGCTGCAGTAACTCTTATTCTCTGCATAACTGTATAACCTGAACAATTTAATGGAAGTAACAATGTAACAAAAGAAGGAGACAAGGAGAGCAAAGTAGTGCACCCGGCATGAAAGCTCTTTTGTATTAGAACATCAAACTCAGCTACCCCGGTTCAGGCACAGAATTTAGCTACAACAGAGGGAGCCCTTGGCTGCAGAGAAAAAGAAGAGGTAGCCAGCCTCGTGATGAGCGAGCGGAGGGGAGGAGAAGGAGTGCGAGTCCAGTGCCAATAGGAAGTTCAGGCTTAGTTCCTCCCACCCCACAGCGTTTATCCAAGGTCAAGAAATTAAAAAAAAAAAAAATCCCAGAGGCGCCAGATTAAAGACAGAGCAGTCAATTGTGGGATCTGAACGGGAGAGATGGAAGCAGGACCAGCTCAGACAGCACACATAGGGGCTGGAGAGATAGCACAGCCGGAAGGGGGTTTGCCTTGCATGCGGCCGACCCGGGTTCAATTCCCAACATCCCATATGGTCCCCTAAGCACCACCAGGAGTGATTCCAGAGTGCAGAGCCAGGAGTAACCCCCGAGCATCCCCGGGTTTGACCCAAAAAAGCAAAAAAAAAAAAAAAAAAAAAAAAAAAAAAAATACCCGAGTTCAAATACCCCACTGTGTGATTTTGGACAAGCTGGTTAACGTCTAGGCCTTGGTTTTCCGCATCTGGAAAATGGACATGATATGGCAGATTTTCTTTTTTTTTTCCCCCTTTTATTCCCCGGGCAAGCTCGGAGACCGGGACCAAACACCTACGGAGCCCGGAGCGCAGTGTCTGACACCTGGCCAGCGCGCAGTCCCGCCGGCCCTCGGGGTGTCCCCAGCGCCAGCTGCTTGGGGAGCAGCCCTGCAACCTCAACCTCCGGACCGATGCCCCCCCGCCCCTCTCCCACGCGGGAGCGTCAGGTCTCGGGAGTCCTCGAGCCCGCGCGGCAGCAGCCAGGAGCTCCCGGGCACAGACCCATCCCACCCGGAGGCACGAGCCGGGTGGTGGGGGTGGGGACCCATCGCTGCACGCGCAGCGCCGGGCTCGCGTGGGGGACGGGGGGCCGCGGGGTCGAGGACCCTCCCCGCCACTTGCAGGAGCCGCGCCGGGTCCAGCGGAGAGGGCGGCGACGCACCTGTCTCGGCGCTCCCGGCCCGGCCCGCGCTGCCTCCCCGCAGCCCGTTCCCGCCCCGGCAGCTCGCGGGCAGGTGCAGCTCCGCCGGCTCCGGCTGCTGCAGGCGCCCGCACTTCAAGTCTCTGTCGGGCCGCGCTGCGGCGTCGCGGCCTGATGACGTGAGGGCTCGGGGGCGGGGCCAGGGGCGGGGGCGTGGTCAGGGGCGGGGCGGGGCGGGGCCAAGGCGCTACGTTGCAGAGTCGGGTCTGTGCACACCGCGGGTGTTTGCCTGTGTGAGTGTGCGTGTGTATGTGCGTGCGCGCGGCTGCGGACTGCTGTGTGCGTGCATGCGTGCGGGCGTGTGGGCTTCTCTCGCTGCGTTTCCCTCTGCTCTGGGGCTGGGAATGTGCGCGTGGGCTGTGTGTTTTTCTCCGTGTGGTCTGTCTTTTATAGGATTTGCCAGGCGGTGCGGCATTTACGAGGAAGAGGGAGGTGGGGATCGGAATCAGCTCTCTTGTGTAATTTCCCTGGTACACTACCCGAGCTGCTTTTCCTTCAAGGAAGAAAATGAGTTAAAAGAGAAACATAAATAGGACTTGAAAGAGCCTGCATCCAGACTGGCCCTTCAAACAAAACGTGGGAAACAGCACCGAGAGTTTCTTTCACAATATTTGTGGTGCCCCTGACAAGGCCGGTGGTTATCTGGAGTGTTAGCCATTCAGAAGGAAAAGGACAACCTTTAACATGCACTTAAACAGGCGTTGAGTTTATCTGGCAGTAGTGAATACAAAGATAATTAAGACCCCTGCCCTGGAAATATTGCCACTAATTTTCGTCTCCTCACACCAACCCTAACTCTGTCTCCTTGAATTTCCTTTTATACTTAATCTATATCTATCTGTGATATTTCTTATGGTTTCCCGAGTTCGCATTCAGCTGGGCAGAAAGAGAGAGAGAGAGAGAGAGAGAGAGAGCATCACTGCCAAAATCAGTGTGCTGTTGCTTTAAATGATTGCTTTAACTTAAATGCTTCCCATTGGAGGTGGTGAAGCAACTAACCAGAACTCCACGTTAGTCAACTTTCTCTGGGTTAGCCTTCAATCTTGCCTCTGAAAGTAAAGTTTTCCTTTCTTCTGTGCAGAGGTGATTCCTCATTATGCTCATTACGGTAATGAGAAATGAAGTGATCACTGTGGGAATTAGATCCAAGACAGAAAAAAATCAAGATTGGTTTACATAAAGCTCATTTGTAAGTGGCTCTCCTGCAATACCCATTGCACAAGGATTATTTATGGTCCTTCCAGAAGATGCGGATTTCAATGTGAGGTGTTTCTGGTTACTTAATGAAAATTGTTTTAGAAGCAGGTAACACCCCTGGCAATCTGTTTTATCAACAGACCACAGTAATTTATGGTGATCCAGTCTAGCCAGAGCAACAGGGACTGATTGTACTGTCCTGTTAGACAACTTTTTTTAAAAATGCCAAATGAAATAATAGGACATAGCAGTCAGTTCAGGACAGGAGGACAGTGATCCGAAAGGGAGAGGAAACAAATGAGGTGAGAATCATGGTTGCCTCAGTTTACCTGCTGCAGTGCAAGGAGGAGGAATCCTGAAAGAGTTAGGTAAAGTCTCTGAAGAGATAGAAGGGGAGATACAGTGAAACCAAGGCGCGGAGTTGGTTATATATGATGGAAGGTCACATGGAACGAGGGAGTTGTTCTGACCTGGGTTAGATCCCCAGCACTCCATATGCTGGATATTAGGAGTGAATCCTGAGGTTAACCAGGAGTAAGTCCTGATTACCATCAGATGTGAAGAAGGAAGAGAGGGAAGGAGGAAGGGAGAGAAAAAAGTTTCTGGAAACTTACAAAACAAAGTCTTGTACCATCCTTAGAAGATTCTTACTTGATAAGGCCAAGGAGAGAATCACCTCCAGGGAAAGAGAATACAATCACCTAAACTTGCACGAGACAAGGATTATTCCTGTTCCTACAAGCCAGAATGGAAAGGTACTCTGGGATCATACAAAACCAGAAATAGGGCCTGATCCTGGCACCCAAACTGGAAAGACTCATAATTTATGACTCCAAAGGTCTTGGCCCAGTAGTGGCATAAAGTTACTTTGGAGTAAATGTGTCTCTGTCTTCCCAAACCAATCTTAAAAGCCAGCCCCAAAGGAATCAAGCCTTTTCCAAGAACAAAATGTACCAACACAATTGTACAGGAATACTTAAAAGAAATAAAAACTAACACCTACCAAGGTGAAATTCACAATGTCTGGCAACCAATCAAAAAAATATTCAACCAGGCAAAAAAGGCAGGAAAGCATGGTACATAATGAGAAAATAATTTTCAAAACCACAGCAATGATGGACAGGATTATTTAGAAAAGAATATGTTTTAATTTGTTTATTCTGTATGTCCAATGGAATACAGATACTAAGACATGAAAAATCCCTTTTAAAATCTAAAACAAAAATCTAAAGATATTAAAATCATTTTCTGGTATTTTGTTAACACACACAAATGCTACTTCTATGAAACTAACAAGACTAAACAAACATAACTAGGAAAAAATGATTAAGGAAACTGAGTACATAACATAGAAACTATCCAAAGTGAGAGATGAAATAAAAAAAAAAAAGCTAAACTAAAATTGAGCAGCAAATCACTGAGGTGAAGAAAAAAATGGCAGAAAACTTTCCCAATTTGCTTTTACCCATAAATTCACAAATCCCAGGCATTCAGCAAACTAACTAGAAATTTGAAAATTTTACCAAGGAACATCACAATTAGTTGCTCAAAACCGATGTAAAAGTAAAATAGTTCAATAGTGGCCAAAGATGGGGAAAAAAAAGAAAAAGACATTACTATACAGATGAACAAAGAACTATAATCAACTTCTCATTGGAAATTTACATACAAGCATTGAGTAAAGTATCACGTTTAAAATTCTGTGTGAAAAAGCTGTCAATTTAGATCTATTTTGATATGTATATATTTCAACAACAAACCAAAATAATGATGTTC